ATTCATGCACGCTGTATTAATATTCAAAGAATAGTAGCTAATACCTGATAAGGCAAGGAAACTTGTATGATGGAAAAATGGAATGTTCAGCAAATGTATAAAATCCCTATGAGTTCTGGTAATTGGGCAGAGAGCCGCACATCGAGCCAGCCGAATAAACCACATCAACTACAGTACAACTTTGTCTCAAGTCATCCTCTTGTGTCGATTCATATAACCTGTCGGGTTATAGTACTCGGCATGGAGATCTTCAATGGTAGGCCCACTCGTGGCTAGCAACCACCGTGCCGCTGTGCGGTGAGCGTTTTCGAAACCAGTGGATTTATTTAGACTTCATTTTCGCTGGTTCCAGTCAGAACATGTAGTTTCGATGTACGTGTGCGCGGCTCGGAATATCGTACGCCGAATAGTTGCGCACACACGCTGTACGAACTGCACCGGAGAACAAAAAATGGCAAGAATTGACGTTACGTCTGACTTCATTTTCCTGTTTTTATCTTTGGGAGTGATTGTCGAATTTCTTAACCCACCAGAGGTGGAGATAAGGACGCATAGGAGTTACAGACGAGAAAATGGCTCCTTGGAAAAAGGTTGAAATGTTGCAAATTTTGTTTACAAAGTTTTGCGCCCGATTTTGGATTCTTTATACCCTGGACTCCCTCCGTAACGTAGTACGGTCAGGGAGTCCACCTGGGCTAGGTCGACACCACCGATATGCGTCGTCTGCTAGAATAATTTTTCAAGCCGACGACTATTATGTCACCATTGCGCATGCGCGAATAAACAAACTAAATTCACTTCACTAAGTTCCTTATTATACGTTCATTCCATTACTTTTCTGAGCATCGAGTCGCCGGGGCACCTGTTCAATATTTTTACCTGAATTTCCTGAGACTGGCTTAGTGCTTCTTTTGCATCTCCCCTCACGTGTTCCTGAACTCTTTCACCAAGTGATCTTACCGTTTCCCAAATGTATCTCTCTTCACATCCTTTGCATGTTAACTGGTATATCACCTCTCTCTGTTTGCACTGTCCTTTTCCACTGCAGGCTATTGTTGGCACATCGTGGCCTTGTCATCTAGACATTTGTCCCCTCGGGATGGATTTGACTTCGTCATGATGTCCTTTACTCTACTCCTTGTTTTTTCCACAATCTTTGCCCTCTTGCCTCACTGTTTTCCAGGTCTTTTAGGATATTTTAACTGTACAATACTAGGGGGTTAGATCGCGCAAAGCATGGTGGGAACCAACACGGCGCAGCAAGATCGTACCCATGGGAACGAGGTTGGGTAGTCTGTATTCTCGTGGATGGGGCGGCGCGGACTTCTGGGATTCTCGCAAAATGGCGGGCCGGGATGGGGGGCGTGCTCCCACGAATTCGGTGCCCCCTACTGAAAACGGATGAATGGATATACAACAAAACTAACAAAAACTTATTCCCAGAACACCAAATCACCACTGAAAGCTGGTGCCCCTCCATAAGATACCGGTGCCCTCTTTGTGCCCCCACAAGTAAAATCCTGACTACGCCACTGGTCATGATTACCCGTCTACTAACAGTGATCATAACTTATTCTCTGGTGAGTAAACATCAAACATGAAAAATCTTTTAAGAAGTTTGAACGATTCACCCAAAAGATTGGTAACGAGCAACAAACTAATCCCATTGAGATCCGCATACGTTTCGTTCATTCATTGTTTGATTTAAAAACGAGTATCACACAACCAAACACAAGTCATTTTCCGTTTTCCAATCGGAAAACGAAAATCAAAAACAAGTGATTTGAAAACGAAAAATGAGGGGAAAAAGACAAGACGTCGTTTATTGTTTTTCCTGTTGAAAACGACAAACGAAAGTAATCAAGTTCTAAATTTTAATCCCAATTAATCCCACGTTATTTCGAGGTGTCACGGACGTCTCTGAGCACTTCTCAAGATGAAAGTTGCCTTTGAGCATGCGAGAAATTTCCTTGTGAGTTGCTCTTCCCTTTACTTTATAAGCAACAAACTTCTCGTATTCCTGTAATTCAGTCATGTTTAATTTGATGGCTTACATAACAAAGACATTTCTTACATTACGCAATGGAACATTCTTGGAGCAATAGATTATGTTGTTGTTCCTTGAAAAAAGAAAAAAGAACGTTTTCAAATGAAAAGTGAAAATGAAACGATTTTTTTGTTTTCAAATCGAAAAACGAATGAACGAAACGTACACTGACCCAGAACATCGTGAAATGCCAACAGGGGATCTGCGTGATAAGAGACAGCCCTATAAGGGTGCAGTCTACTAATTCAAGTAAGGATTTCTGGTCAGCTCATTAGGGCGCCCTTATAAGATTCTATGGTTCTCATTTCTTTTACCAC